CTGATCGTCTGCGCATTGAGCTTGCGATAATCGATGCACAACCGCAAATCCTTGTTCTTCTTCGGACGAAGAGAACAGGAGCACCGTATGGCGATGAGCTAGGCCGAATCCAGCCTTTCTCCAGAAGGTCGTCGAGTTGTGCCCGAAGCACACTTAACTCTTCCTCGCTCGTTCGGTAGATGCAACCGCGCGGAGGTACGGCCCCGTCCTCGAGGATGATCTCGTGGCGGATGGGCCGATCTGGTACTACTCCGTGCGGGCCTTCGAACACGTCGCTGTAGGCGTCGAGAAGCTCGGTGATGCGTGAATCCGAAGGTGAGTCCGTCGATGAAGCGTCACGGGGTGGGAGGGTGTGGAGAAAACACACCCCCATCTCCTCGATGTCGTCTCTGATGATGGAAACTCGCATGCTTGCGGCGGATACCACGTGGCAGCTGATCGAAGGATGAGGAAGAGGCACCGTGCATGGAACTAGTACTCCGTTCCGGTCACGAACGTGAACGGTGCGGTTGAAGAAGTTCACCGGGTGATCCTTGCTTCGCAGCCATGACATGCCCAAGATCATGTCGAATTTGGTGTCCAGAATGTCAAAGGACACCGCCTCACTTGCGTGAGGGGCAAAGTACACTGGGACGCTGTCAACGCACCGGTCGATTGACGTGTGCGTGTGACCGTCCGCCAATGGGACTTGACTAGGCTGGGGCTTCCTTCGGACGCGTGGGCCAAGGCCGGCGCGCACCATGAAGTCCAGGCTGATGTAGTTGCGAGATGCTCCGCAATCGATCAAAGCGCTGCAGGTCGCTTCTCCGATCTGAATGCGTACATATAGCAATGGTGCGTCGATGTCATCGTACCGTTGCGTCTTGAACTCGCGGTCGCTTCGCGGCTGGACAACAGCCACCTAATCTTCGTCACTTGATGCTGGAGTGGCTGCTGGGTTATCTCCACTGTCCGACTGGACTACAGCGAACTGCTGCTGTCGCGGACCAGTTCGTACCTTCTCCACATAGGTTGGCTGCCACGTGGACTTCTCGTGCGCAGCCGCCCTGTTGGTCTTGATGAGCTCTCTCGCCTTGTAGATTATCTCCGCGAAAGTGCTGTACTGCTCGCGATCACCAAGTGCGAGGCTGAGAGCGGCGCATGACCTGTTGTAGAATTCCCGTCGCAGATGCGGGAATGGCAAGTCCAAATCGGGCGCCGCCACGATCTTCTGCCAATCCGTGAGCCAGTCACGTGTCGGTGTGCTCCCTTGAGCCATCGTGAAGATGCGGTTGATGACAAGTGCCGGGGCGTCGTCGACGATGAACCGCTTCTTCCATTCCTTTGTCATATCTTCCCAGGAGACCTTCTTGTACAGGTCTGAAACCTGGACGCCGTGGATGGTTGCCATGTGGCTGAGCCAGATCTGACATCCTCCCTTGGTGTTGATGAACAGAGCACTGATGAACAGATGGTCAGGGACCTCGTGAATCCCCAACTCCGTTGTAAATCCTTGCCACCAGACGACCGGGTCTTGATGTGTGTAGTCATCAAATTTCTCGATCCGGAACGTCGACATCTTGTATGGCCTCGCCGAGCTGTTGTTGCGGCTGTGGTCGGTCTGCTGTTGCTGACTGATTTTGGTGTCCAGCAGCTCGAACCGCTGGCTGATGGTGGCCGGCTCTGTGAAGGCACTTATGTCTCCTAGCATTGCCACTACGTGGTCAACGCGTTCCTCCAGTTGGCGGCTAGAAGATGCACTGCTGGAAGCCCCAGCATCTGGTCCTGGTACAGCCTGTTCCAGGTCCAGTACACGGGCGTCCAGTGCCCGTGTGGCATCCTCGTGCTGAGTCTTATGGTTCCGCACGGCCCGCTGGAGGTTCGCCAGCTCGGACTGTAGGTGGTTACAAGTATAAACCAACCTGGTCACGAGCTTGGCCATGAACTCCCTATGCTGCTCTTCCGGTGTTGGCTCGTCGCCGTTCGGTTCAAAGTGCCAGTACTTGAGTCTCTCGATGCTGTCGGCTTCATGCCGCAGCAGCAGATCCTGGGCTTCCTTGCGGCGAGCCTGGGCATCTGCGTCTGCTTCGGCCTGTAGCCGCAGCTTCTCTGCTGTTGCCGCTTCTTCAGCCTGTAGCTGGGCAGCCTTGACTGCCAGCTGGCGTTGTTCCTCAGCCTCGATTACAGCGAGCTGAGCCTGAAAGCGCTTTTCGTAATTGGCAATGGGCTCATTGGCCAGTTGGCCTGGCAGGCCCGTCATGTTGCTGACGTGGCACTGTGTCTGACGTGGCACTGCTGACGTGGCACTGTCTGACGTGGCACTGCTGACATGGCACTGCTGACATGGCACTGCTTATGTGGCACTGTGTCTGACGTGGCACTGCTGATGTGGCACTGCTTACGTGGCACTGTGTCTGACGTGGCACTGCTGACGTGACACTGCTTACGTGGCACTGTGTCTCATGTGGCACTGTGTCCGACGTGGCACTGTAGCAACCCGGAAATGCATGCAAAGGGTGGGTGGGAGGGAAAGACGCAGGTAGGAAACCAACCCAACAATACTTTCCTCCGGCCCTAATCAACACATAAAATAAAAAATAAAAAATAAAAGAGGACTACTTCCTTTTTTTTTTTTTTTTTTTTTT